TCCCCTAGCTTTTGTTCTCATTGGTCCATATACATCAGTATGGATGAGGCTTAAAAGATCACTAGATTTTTCACCCTTTCTAGTAAAAGGTGACTTTTTCATCTTGTCCATCAAATGTGATTCACACACATCGAATGACTCAAAGTAAAAAGGTGTTAGAAGTCCATTTTTATGTAACTTTTAAACGCATTTTGCATTAATATGGCCCAAGTGACAATGTCGTAGATAGGTAGGATTATTATCACTCGATCTATAATTTTTGTTGTCTATGTTAAGGATGTATTTGTCTAAGTCTAGATAATATAGATCATTAGACTTTTTAGCATTGGCATAAAACATTGAATTCAAGTAAATGGAGAAACAACATTTCTCAATGATAAATGAAAAATCTTCATTATATAATACAAGAATAGAAATAATGTTTTTGGTAATAGCAGGAACATAATAATAGTTATCAAGATCTAATATTAATCTAGAGGGAAAAGGTAGACTATAATTCCAAATTACGAGAGCTGCAACTCTTGCACCATTTCCAACACGTAGTTCTACCTCTCCCTTAGCCAAGGTTATACTCATTCTTAGTCCAAGCACATTTGAAACAATGTGAGAAATGCAACCAGTATTAAATACCCAAGAAGTAGAAGTTTCTAAGTTGATATCGATGACAAAAATGCTTGAAGTATAAGACCTAGAATTCTTGTCCTTCAGATACTTAGGGCAGTTCCGCTTCCAATGACCTATCCCATCATAATAGAAGCATTTGTCTTTGGCCACCACCTTTGGTGCATCAACATTTTTAGAGAAAACTTGGTTATTCTTGCCAGCCTCATCCTTCTTAAACCCATTTCCATTTGTGCACCATAAGAACATCCTTCTTATGTGAAATATGGATGTTTTAATTAACAATCATGAGCATCCTGTGTAACTCATCTATGGTCTTTGATACCCCATTCATGTTAAAGTTCAACCTAAATTGGTTGAACCCTCCATGAAGGGAGTGGATTATAATGCCAGTGGCAAACTCTTGGATATAGGGAAAGCCCAACCTCTCAATAGCCTTGAAATATCCAATCATTTCAAAGACATGAGCAACGACTTACTTCCTTTCCTCTCACTTACAATCAAGAATCACCTTATGAGTCTCATACCTCTCAATCCGAGCTTGTTATTGAAACATAGTTTTCAGTTGTCGGATGATGTTGTAGGCATCTGTTGTACCCCAAAATTTTCCCTCTCATGTTTCCCAAGGTTTTTTTTCTCTTATATGGGTGGTTACAAACACTTGCCTAAAGAAAATGAAATTTTTGAATGTTAGCAAAGTGTCTTTCGATTGGCAGTTCAACAATATCTTTTGATTGGTATCTAAACAGTGTCCTTCAATTGGAATAATAACAAGCTTCGATTGGGCTCCTAAAACCATTCGACCAAGCATTGGCCCATTATCTTCGATTATGTGTTGGTTTCCCTTCGAACAAGCCTTGGTCCAAGCTTCACAAGCAAGAATCCCCTACAAGTTTGCTTCGATTCACCAACAGTGAACTCCTGCATACAAGCTTTAATTGGGCGCTGAATCTCCTTAAATCAAGACTAATTCACAAAGCTTCCTCATTCTTTCCTTGGTTTCACAAGGCAAAGACCCATCGAATTGCCTTCGATCTATAAGGAAAAAGGCCCATTTCGCTGGTCTTCGATTCACAAGACAAAGGGCTGCTTCAGACATGCCTTCGATTCACAAGGCAAAGGCCCCCTCTTCATCTTGCCTTCAGCACACAAGGCCAAGACTCCTTTAGATTTGCCTTCAATCCGCCAGGCAAAAAGCTCCCTTTGACCCACAAGGCATTGGCTGCCTTTGTGCCAGCTTCGATTGGGCAATGGTCCCCTTTGAAATAGTTTTTCATACTTCGACATGCATGTTAGTCCCTTCGAAGGCGTATTCATAAGATCCCTTTGAAGAAGCATTCATTGGTCCATTTGAAGGACATATGGTTACTGAATACAAGCTTATCTTATGATGGGTCTTGGTATTACATGTGGCCAGGCCCAGGCGTCTTGTGCAATAGCATTCGAAGGTGGTGACAAAGGAGGTTTCATTTGGCCAAAATGAAGTTTTAGTTTGAGTTGTTTGAATCAAGCAGCTAGGGCAAGTAGATAGACTCAATCAAAGAAGCTCTAAACAGAATTTTTCTGAACACTTCGAATCAAGACTCTAGGCCAATCGAAGAGAAACTCTGGAAGGCATTCGAAAGATAAATGTGTCCAGGTTCATAGCAAATTCAGAAAGGGACAAGAAACCATGTTTTGGAAAAGTTTCAAAGTGATATTCATGGCCTTAAAACACCAACTTAATGGTTGTTTATTCCTTGGCCCTCTTGTCCCCTCCATCCCTTCTATATAAGGAGCACACTGGCAAGCTCCAAATATGGTTGGAAAACACCTCAAGGAGTCATACAAAAATTGCAAAAAATATCCAAAGTTCTCAAGATATTGTGATTAATGAAAATTCTACCTGGGATTGGAATTCTAGCAATTCAATTAACAAGCCATTGTTGAGTTCTGATGTCGATGAAGAAACTGATGAAGTAGAGGTCGAAGGAATTATTAAGAATCTAGTCGAAGTCGAAGAAGAAGCAGTTGCTGACATTCCGGACACAGTTGAAGAGGCTGTGGCTGAAACAAGCCAAAAACCTCAAAGAAATAGAGTTCTTCCAACAAGACTTCATGATTATGAAGTGGTGGGTGATGATGAAGTCACACCAGATGAAGAATTAGTTCATTTTGCTTTACTTGCAAGTGCTGAAACAATTAACTATAGCGAAGCTTTAAAGACTAAACAGTGGAAGTTAGCTATGGTCGAAGAGTTACAGGCAATCGAAAGAAACAACACATGAGAGTTAGTCGAATTGCCAGCACCTACAAAAGCTATCGAAGTAAAGTGGGTATTCAAGTTGAAACATAATGTTGATGGCTCGATAGCAAGACATAAAGCAAGATTAGTAGCTTGAGGGTTTCTTCAAAGAGAAGGATTCGACTGCTCTGAAGTATTTGCTCCAGTAGCAAGATTAGAGACTGCTCGACTAGTGGTAGCATTGACATGAAACCAAGGTTGGTCGACATTTTATTTAAATGTAAAATTAGCATTTCTGAATGGTCATTTAGACAAAGAGGTCTATGTCACACAATCTCCGGGGTTTGTGATTCAAAAGGAAGCGAGTAAAGTGTATAAGTTGCATAAAGCACTCTATGGCCTCAAGCAGGCATGTAGGGCATGGAACAAGAAAATCGACTCATACTTAGTCGAATTGAGATTTGTCAACTGCAAATTTGAGTATGGTATCTATGTTCAGGTTGTAGCACAAGATATAACAATCATCTTCTTATATGTCGATGACTTGCTAGTGACTGGAAATAGCTTGGAGAACTTGTCAAAGTTCAAAGAGCTGATGATGAAGTAATTTGAAATGTATGATCTGGGAAAATTGTCTTATTTCTTAGGTATGGAATTTCAAATGTCGAAGCAAGGTATGGTGCTATATCAAAGGAAGTATGTCAAATAAATACTCAAGAGATTCATAATGGACGATTCAAATCCTGCATCCTCACTTATCGGACCAAATGTAAAATTGGAGAAGAATGGAGAGGAAGACAAAGTTGATGTAACTTTGTTCAAGAAAATTGTGGGATCTCCGAGGTATGTGTGTAATAGTCGACCTGATATAGGTTTCGGTGTAGGATTAGTAAGCAGATATATGAGTGAACCAAGAGTGTCACATATAAAGGTTGTAAGAAGAATCTTGAGATATTTGAAGGGTTCGATAAATTATGGAATACTATTTCAACTAGATTCTGAAGACAAATAAGTAATAGTTAATTGTTTTTCAGATGCCGATTGGTGTGGAGATAAGGAAGATCGGAGAAGCACAACTGGATATTTCTTTCAAGTAATTGGTGCCCCAATCTCATGGTGTTCGAAGAAACAACCTGCGATGGCATTATCATCTTGTGAAGCTGAATTTATAGAAGGATCCTATGTTGTATGTTAAGCAATTTGGATCAGATATGTACTTGAAGAAATGAAGGTCGAAGTGAAGAAACCTCTTGTATTGCAAATCGACAACAAGTCAGCCATAAATCTGGCGAAGAATCCAGTTCTGTATGGAAGAAATAAATATATTGTAGCAAGGTTTCACTTCTTGTAGAAAAAGGTAAATCGAGGTGAACTTGAAGTAAGACATTGCTCGAGTGAAGCACAGTTGACAGACATTTTCACCAAAGGATTGAAGATTGATAAATTCCTGAATTTGAGAAAGAAATTATGAATAGTTCAGATTGACTATTTTTGAGGATGTTCGACAACTTGGATTATGAGAGTGTGTTGAAATATTAAATTAAATTTGATTAGATTTAATATTTAATATAATCCAAGTTGTGTAGACCCAAACCCAATTAAGGTTGTATATAAATAGTCTTAGTCTATATCATTATTTATACAATTCAATAATATAAATTATTATATCATTTATTATTTTCTTCTCACTAAAAGTGTCTCACACACTAGCGATAATCAAGAGTAAAATTAATCACTCCAATTTTTTAAAGTTTATGTTTCTTGGTGTAAATAATAATTTTTTTGGACTAAAATGGACCTAAATATAACACTCAAGAAATAAAATACTAATTTGTATTAGGTAATTATGATATATTATTTTATTTTAGAACTCTTTTAAAAAAAATTAAAAAAATTGTTTTATATTTGACTTTTGAAACTATTACAACTCAGAATTGTGAAAAAAGGTTTCTTTAAATATAAAAGACATTTGTATTCAACTTTAAGAATTAAAAAGATAACTATTTATTTCACGGGGGCACAAATATATAGAAATAATATATTTATTTACTATCTTATTTATAAATTATTTTACATTTGATGTTCTATATAAACCTCTGAAATTCTTTTAATAAGAGTAAATCTTATTTCTGTTTTGATATTGAAGCTATTTGAAATGGCTAAGTTTTCCTTCATGTCAATAATCGTCCTAACCTTCATTTTCTCAGGTATACTATTTTCCAGTCAAATTTTGTAGCATTTCTTTGTGTGCTAGTAGTGTTTATTAGGTTGGATGAATTATGCTATTATTTTCACAAGTAGTTTTTAATGTAATTTTTGCTTTTTTATTTTATTTTATTACAGTTATGGCAACGACAACTGATGCAAAAGAATGTGTTGCATCTCGTGAAGGTCAATGCCTTCTTGCATCATGTGGACAATGGTGTTTTCAAGCATATAAAGGTCATGGAACATGTGTTAGTGGAAGTGGAGATCCCTCTACTTATAAATGTGTTTGCGTATATAATTGTTCAACCTAGAACAAAAATACACAATTATCTTTATTTTTAATGTAAAACTGTATTGAAATAAAATGGATAAATTCGAATACAAAATTTTATTTGTTTCTTATATTTGTTGCGATTGAGAACATAAAAACAAAAATCATAATTGATTTTTTGGGTGTAATTTTGATTATAATATAAGACTCAAATTTTTAAAAAATGTAGAGGCCTAATAAGATTTTAGCAAAAAGAGAAAGAAAAAAATCGTTAATAAATCTCATTAACGTGAGATGGTGTGATAGGAATGGCAATTGGTAGGGTTTGTGTACAGTATTATAATATCCGTTTTTATATCTGTAATTTGAAAAAATATTTGTACTGAAGTTTAAATTCGTGTGGGCATCAATATTCATATTGTATCCGTACTATATAAAAATTTCAATACTCATACCCGTATCTGTCTATCCATGTTTATAATAAAACTAAATCCATTAATTATAAAATATCATATAATATAAGTTTTCGTTAACAATATTAAAAAAAACTATGAATTTTATTGTTGAGTTGAGAAATAAATAAACACTTTTATTAAAATGTGTAATGGTTTAATAATAATATTTTTTTTTAAATTGATAAACGTGTATTTTTATATAATAATATAAATAATATTATATAAATATATAATACAGATACAAGACACAATGAATAGTAAGATAATCAGTGCATGCACTCATATCCACTTATTTTAATGGATAATTATATGTACTCGTACTCGTATCTAATTGATAAATTTTTACCTTATTCGTGATAGATATTTTTTACAGTTGCTCATAGAGTCGAAGACCGAGTCTAGGGGTAAACCATCAAGGTTAATGCCTAAGGCCTTACATTTTTATGTTATATTTATATAATTTTAATTGATTGATTTTTTTTAAATAACTCTTTAAATTCTGTTATATACTAATTAAATAATGACATCTATTTAAAGTATATTATAATAATAATTTACAATATTTAGAGTATATAATAATAATTATTTATAATATGTTTTGGTTGATTTGTTAATTTAAAAATTATACGTATAGATCATAAAGTTGAGTCTTTTAATATAATAGAAGATTTTATATCTAAAATAATTTAAAATAATTTTAACATTATTTTAATTATGATTTATTTTAAAATAATTAGAAGAGTGTTTAGATGAGTTAATTTTATTATGAATTAAAATAAAATATTAAATAAAATCAATTATAAAATTTTTAATCTTAAAACATTTAAGATATATTAATTTTTGAAAATTATTTTTTTAATATTAAAATTTTATATTATAAATTTTGCCTTAGACTTCGAGATGTGTTGGGTCAGTCGTACATAGTATGAGTCAATTTATCATCTCTACTATGTGGTATAGGCTAAACAAGTACATTTTTTAATGTCATTTATTTTTCTAATAATAATGTCATAGATATCTTTTTTTTTCTTCTTTCTTTCTATATTCCAACATTTTATTTTATTTGAGGGGAAAATATAAATAAATTGGTACATATAATCTAACCCACAAAAATTGCATAAAGAATGTACCATCATCATTCGTCGCAAGCCACATCCTATCTTCCACAAGAGTTAAGGATGGCGGTAGAATATTAGCTATTCGAAGCCTAATATCTAACGGAAGCCATTCTAGTAAATTCCAATTCCATTCACGCAGACTCTAGCATTTTGTAATTATGGGGGAATATTGAGCATTTTACTTGGGACACATCTTTGTGAGAGACACACCACTTGTCCATCTAAAACCTTAAGGTGATAGATGAGTGGGTTCTCTCATATATAGACACACCTTTGTGAGAGACACACCACTTGTCCATCTAAAACCTTAAGGTGATAGATGAGTGGGTTCTCTCATATATAGACACACGTTTGTGAGAGACACACCACTTGTCCATCTAAAACCTGAGTGGGTTCTCTCAATCTTCCCTTTTATAATCAATGTGGGACTTCTTCCTCACACTTGATTCTCAACAACCATCGCTCGATACAAGGGACACACCACTTGTCCATCTAAAACCTTAAGGTGATAGATGAATGGGTTCTCTCATATATAAGTGTTCAATCTTCCCTTTTATAATCAATGTGGGACTTCTTCCTCACACTTGATTCTCAACAAAAAACATTGATACACATGGCCGAATCCACCCAACAGTCGTTCCACGCCTGAATAGCTCTACCACCACCCACCCTCCACATCCCCTATCCAACAGATTACTATGAGTTTTCACAATAGCTTTCCATTTATTAGAGTATGAAACTTTTGCCTTTAAATTCTCACAGTTGCCATCTGTTTTGTACTTCCTACGCAGAATGTTACACCAAAGCTCATCATCTCCATTAATCACTTTGCTTCCAAGTTTCATAATGTAGGCATCATTCATAATATTTAAATCTCTTAAACCCAAGCCATCTTCACACTTAGCTTTCGTAACTGTATCCCAGCTAACAGTATGATAAGCTTTCTTTGAATCGGTGTCACCCTAAATAAAGTCCCTTTTCATTTTCTGAATCTCTTTAGTACAAGCTTTAGGAAGACTGTTAGTCATCATAGAGCAGATAGGAATAGCTTCCATTACACTCTTGGCCAAGGTAACTCTCCATGCGAAAGAGAGATGTATCGCTTTCCAATTAGATAGCTTCAGGGAAATCTGCTTCGTAATATATTGAAAGTCTTGCTTCTTGATTTTCACCTCATGCTCAATCATATGTGAAAGCTTGTCCATACAAAGAATAAAAAGATACGAGGAGATAAGATCCCCTTGACGGATTCCCTGTTGCAGCCTAAAAAATTCCCCACGATTACCGTTCCAATTGATATTGGTTTCCACACTAGAAACCCCATGCATAATCAAATTTATCATGTTATCAGGAAGACCTATTTCCACCATACTTCTCCAAATAAACTCCCAGTTGAGTTTATCGTAAGATTTTGATAAGTCTATCTTAATAACAAAATAGCCTTTATTTCCTCTTTTCCTATGCATGATGTGAATAACTTCATTGGCAATAATGATATTTTCATGTATGGAGCACCCTGGAACAAAGCCTGTTTGGTTCGGAGAAACAAGAGCCTGCATGAGAGGTTTAAGCCTTCCCACAATCACATTTATAATGATCTTATAAATCGTATTACATAACAAGATTAGACAGAATTGAGTCACCGACTAGGGTTGATCTACCTTAGGGATTAGGCAGATATTCGTTTTATTGATTTCAGCAACACTGCTAGGGCACTTCCATGCATTTTTCACGAAACTACACACGATATTCCCAATAACATCCTAAGCTTTCTGATAAAAGCCCGCTGGAAAGCCATCTGGGCCTGGAGCCTTCCAAGGCTTTATGGAAAATAATTCCTTTTTAACCCCAGCATCGTTAATATCTTCATTTAACTTATTCAGATTTTTGGTGGTCACTTTAGGACACGTAAGCGGAGTCAGCTCCCAACTGCACAAGAAGTTAGGGCTAGCAAAAAGATTCCTGTAATAATTGGTAACATGGTTATGCAAAGCTTCCACCTCTTCAATCCATACCCCATCCACATCTTTCAACATCATGATCCTATTCTTTTTCCTCCTCGAAATGGTTTTCATGTGATAGTATTTAGTATTACGGTCCCCATCAGATAGCCACATTGTTCTCAACCTCTGATGCCACATTAACTCCTCCTGATTCAATATTCTACTCAGATCCTCTTGTAACTTGCCTTCAAGCCTTCTCATTCCACCAAAATTATCATTCATCTGTAGCTTTTTCTGCGTGCCTTCCAATCTCTTCATGACACTTCTCTTTATTCTCTTGAGTTTGTCAAAAGACTCAAATTTCCACTTCTCGATGCCCTCAATGACATTGTCAATATTTGAGGTGAGAGGTTGGTCCCCTCTCCAGGAATATTGAAGCATATGATTGTATGAATCATTTAAAAGCCAAGCATTCTCAAATCTAAACGCCTTTTGTTGATAGTTATACTCATCCTCTTTAAGATTAATAAGAATTGGATGGTGATCTGAGAACTCCACCCTCATTAACACCTTAGCATACGAATCTGGAAACTACATTATCCACTTATCATTACTAATGGCTCTATCAAGTTTCTCATAAATATGTTGACCTCCATGATACACCGGACCTCCACATGAATTTTGGGCCTCTGGCTTCAAGATCACTAACCTTGCAAGCTGCCATTCTATTACAGAATCTCATACATCTACTAGCAGATGCAACACCACCACCTTTATTTTCATCTAAGTAGGCAATATCATTGAAGTCTCCCGCGACAAGCCACAAATCCTGCATCTCTTCTGATATACTATATAACTTCTTCCGAAGAAGCTGTTTAAAATGATCCTAGGGGCTGGCATAAATAATAGTAAACCACCAATCTTCTGTATTCTCCTTCTTGACCTTGAAATGAATGAGTTGCTCCTTTTTCTGATAAACTTGCATGTCCATATCATCTCTCCTCCAAGCAACAACAATACCTCCGACAAACCCTCTATTCTCAACACTTTACATAACTGTTGAATAAACATTAAATGTACTAGTAATAAGTTTTACATTTAAATATGGTAGTAGGAAGGACAAAAGTTTTAGTAAGTTATGATAGTTATTAGTAGCAGTTATGTTTATATTTATGTTTTAGAATTGTAAAAGTTATTTGGGTCTATAAAAGACCAAGTGTATAATTTATTTGATAAGAGCAATATACAAGAAGTCTCATACAGAAGTCTGATTCGATATTCTAACAATTTGGTATCAGAGCTCATGGCAAACATGATGAATCAAATGCTGTTGCCACGGCTAACGAAGTCAAATTATGAAAACTGGAGTATCCAAATGAAAGCTCTTCTTGGATCTCTAGACGCGTGGGAAGTGACCAATGATGGGTTTGAAGAACCAACAAAAGTTGGGGGATATTCAGCAGCTCAGACGAAGGCGTTGAAAGAGACGCGATTGAAGGACAAAACGGCATTATACATGTTGTT